GGGGCGGGGCAGGCGTCGGAGGGACCGCGGAGGAACCCCTCCCCCGCGGTTGCTCCGGAGCCTTCTCCCCCAGCTGGGCGGCGCAGGCTTCGGAGGGACCGTGATGGAAACCCTCCCCCGTGGTCGCTCCGGAGCCGCCTTACCCAGCTGGGCGGAGCAGGCTTCGGAGGGACCGTGGCAGAAACCCTCCCCTGCAGTCGCTCTGAAGCCTTTTCCCCCAGCTGGGCGGTGCTGGCTTCGGAGGGACCGCGGGGGAGGGCTCCCCCGCGGTCCTTCCGAAGCGCCCGCCGGTCAGCTGGGGAGAAATGGGGCCTATGGGGAAAAATTGCAAAGTGATTTGTTCATAGGAAACATTGCAATGTGATTGCTTTTGCAATCGCAAAATCCATTTCGCTATGCGGATTCGTCGTTAAACGGGGCGCTCGTTATGCGAGGCACCACTGTATCTGACTTCTCTAGTAAGTGTGCAAAAACTTGACCTCACAGGTACTACACTGGATTAATCCAGAGTCATGCCTTTAAGTTTTACAGTCTCCCATGTGTTCTGACCTTGCAAGGCAGTGGAACTAGCTTGTGATAATATAGAGTCTCAGGTGTACCAGCAGGAAGGGAAATGATTGCAAAGAAAGGTTCTCTAAAATGTACTTCAGGATTATTTTAGTAAGCAGACTTCGCTGCAGCGTGGTGATACATTTATTTATTTATTTATGCTCCACCCATTTAGATTACGTTTTACTCTGGGCAGCTTACAATAAAATAGCATAAAACCATTAAAAGGAACAATTTAAACAGCAATATTGGTAACATTCAAGATGGAAAGATAGAAATCAGTATAGACAGTAGAAAGAAAAATAAAAATCAGGAAATGACATGGGGAAAGGCTTGCCTAAAGAGTCAGGTCTTCAGTTGGTTCTTAAAAAGACCCAGCAAGGGAGCCAGGCAGATCTCTGATGGGAGTCTGTTCCAAAGTCGAGGGGCCACTGCCGAGAAGGCCGGGTTTCTTGTTCTTTCCGGGCCTCCCTCGGCGTTAGGCCCCTCAGTCGTCTTTCATGGCTATATCAAGTGATTTGAGTAGATCTAGGTGGGAGAAGGCATTCCGCTAGATAACAAGGTCCTAAACCGTTTACGTGTCGTAATTACATCCCATTTGGATTTAACGTATTCCAGGTAGAGCTACCTTTGAAAGGCATTCAGAAACTTCAGTGAGTCCAAAAGGTTGTTGCTAGATTGTTAATGGGGATAGCTGTGTGGAACGCATGACACCCCGGTTGCAACAGCTCCACTGGGTTCTGGTCCTTTTCTGCTTTTGACCAGTAATGCCCTAAACGACTTGGATCCAAATGGTCTGAAAAACCTGATCTTCTCATATAATCCTGGCTGGTCATTAAGATCATAAGGGGAGCCCTTTCTCTTAAACCCATCACCCTTACAAGTGTGCTTGGAGAGGACATGAGAGAGAGCAGATGTGCCTTTAATAGTATTGTAAACTTTTTTTGGTACTAGTTTCAACAGATTGTTGGCTGAATTGCTTTTCAGTACAATCAATCCTCGACTTACGAACTTAATCCGTTCTGGAACAGCGTTTCTAAGTTGAAAAGTTCGTAAGTCGATTTCCCATAGGAATGCCCTGAAACTCCGTTAATCTGTTCCGGCCAAAAAAAAATATACAAAAAAAAAACCACCAAACACTGCAAGCCCCTGGGCCTGCAAAAAACAACCCCTCCAGCCCAATCCCCCCCTGCAAAAGAAAAAGGCGCGCGAGTGTTGTCCGTTCTTCCGAGCGTGTGTGTGGGGGGGAAGGCTGGATCGCCTTTCTCTCCCGCTCCACGGCTTCTCCCGAAGGGCTGCTCCTGATCGCTTTTGCGGCAGCAGAGAAGCCGGGGGGGGGCGGCAGTAGCAATCAGGGGCAGCACTTCAGGAGAAGCCGCGG